CCATATGTCCTGGGTTTGGCCGGCAGAAACCGCTGAGTTGCTGTTGTGTCCCTTGGGTAGAGCCATGGTTCTTTGCGCACTGCTTTGTGTTCTGGCACGACCAGGTGCTCCATGCCATTCTGCACTTCTGCTGCCCCAGCTTTGGAAGCGGCATTTCCCAAGGAGTCTTGGTTTTTATTTAATGGCGTTTAGGCTCAGGGGCGGCGAGAGGCTTCACCAGAGACAGAGTGGGGAGCAGAACAGGCAGATCAACGAAGTACACTGCTGAGGGGAGCAGCGGGCGGGTCAGGAGAGGTCTGCCATGACATGTGGATCACCTCGGGGCAGGAGGGGATCGAACTCATGCGGAAGTGTCTTTAGCTTCTTTGTGTTGTGCTTTAACCTGCTGCGCCACCAGGGAATGCCTATACCTATATTTTAAAGATTTGCTCTTTTCATTTGGGGAAAGACTGAGCATTTATTGGTGATTTTCTAACTTCATCATTCTTTTAAGGAGAACTTTTCCTTTTCCCTTACTTATTTATATCACTGTGAAGTTAGAAATTTTTGTTTTACTCAGTGAGTTAGAATCTACCACCATCATAATTTATTTGGGATCATCATTATTTTGATCATATCACTTTACTGTTATGTATTAAGCACATAATACACATCTATTTCTCTCCATATCCATAATGTATATGTATACATATAACCATGAATTCATGCAGATACCATGATATCTTGAGGATTTTTTTATTTTTTAAATATGAGTTTTTAATATAACATAGTAGTTTAATTTAACATTATTTTGTGCCTTTTTTCCACCTCAGTTATAATCCCCATGGGCTTCCCATCACCAAATCACCTATGTGCCATCACCATAGCCCAGTGCACTTACCCCCCCCCATTTAAATATGATTTATTTTATTATCATATATCCTTTACATTATTGTTCACTTTTGTACAATGTTTGCTTTCTCCTTCTCAGGTGTAGTCACCATAGAATTCCCACCACCAACTCACCCATACACCATCACTATACTCCCCTGTGCTCTTCCCTCCCCAGTTCTGATCCCTCTCACTCCCCTTCCCCCACAGAATGTTTCTGATTTATAGTTGCCTTCTAATTTTTTGGTTATCATTTTCTCTCTAATCCCTTACCAGGTTTCCCTATATTCCTATATTCCTCCTATAAGTGAAACCATCTGATATTTTTCTTTTTTCCTTTTGACTTATTTCACTGATGTTGCTAGGAATAGCATGAGTTTATCCTTTTTGATTGCTGAGTAATGTTCTGTTGTATATATATATATATATATATATATATATACACAGTATATCTTCTTGATCCAGTTATCTATTTTTGGGCATTTGGGTTGTTTCCATATCTTACTATTGTAAATAGTGCTTCAATAAACGTAGGGATGCAGGTATCCTTTTGAATTGATGATTTTGTGTCATTTGAGTAGATTCCTAAGAGTGGAATTACTGGGTCATATAGTAGCTCCCTTTTTAGTAGTTTAAGGAACTTCCATACAGCTTTTGGTAGTTGTTGGACCAATTGGCATTCCCACCAGCAGTGTAAGAGAGTTCCTTTTACTCCACATCTCTTGAGGATGCTTTTTAAACACAGGATAGTTAGTAACTGGTCCTCACAGGGACTACATTATAAAAATGGCATGTGGGGGGGGGGCAGGGATAGATTCCAGAACAATTTAGGAGTTAGAACTCACAGCTCATACCTATTTTAGAGCTGGAAGAGACCCGATTTTACAAAGTGAACAAGTGAGGTAGAAAGTTACTCTCATCCTGTTCTTCCAGAAAACATGGATGGGGTGAGTGTGGTCAGGAGCCAAGCTAATTCTACCAGACATGGCTCAGTGTCAGCTCCATGCCGAACTCTCTTCTCAGCGAGCCAAGCCATCCAGAGTGAACTTTCTGGTAGTTCCTATTTTTTTTTAAAGATTTTTAAAAAAGATTTATTTATTTATTCATACTGAACTGGGGTACAGGCCAGAGGTGCAGGGGCAGTAAGAGGCTTCACCAGAGACAGAGTGGGGAGCAGAGCAGGCAGATCCATTAAGTACTCTACTGAGGGGAGCAGTGGGCAAGGCAGGAGAGGTCTGCCACACCATGTGTATCACCTCCAGACAGGGGAAGGAAATTATACTGAAGTGGCTGCCACTAGCTTAGCAGCGCTATGCTCTAATCACTGTTCTAACCCATTGTACCACCAGGGAGGGCCCTGCTTCCCACTTCTTAACTCTTCAGTGTCCAGAATTAGGTTGGTCCCTAGCAAGACCAGAGGGAATCTGTTTCCTGTCTATACTCAGGATAGTGCTAGACAGGATACCATGTAAGTCAGGCACTCAGACTGACCTACGTTTGAATTCTGGCTCTTCCACTTACTGGCCATGTGACTTGGATAAGTTTATACTTCTCTGAGCTTCAGTCTCCTCATTTGTTAAAAAGGAGTAATTAGAACTACTTCATAGCACTTGGCCCTTGATGCACGCCCATCATCATTATCTCTACATAAGAACCCTGTGTGGAAGGGATTATTTAACCTCATTGGATAAATGAAAAGAAAATCAAGGCTTAGGGAGACTGAGATGCTTGACAGATATCGGAGGGTGAATGTCAGCTTTAGGTAAGCAGGGACAATGTCTGACTTGATCACCATATATTCCTAGCATACAGAACAGTGCCTGGTGCATAGTAGAAAATGAATAAATATTTGTTAATGCATTGGTTCTATCTGACTTCAAAGACTGTATGCAATTTCCATGGCACCTTACATTTGTTCTTAGGTGTCTAAGCTAAGGACCTCAGAGAAGGCTATGGGAAGTCTTGGCTGAGTCCCCAAACTGGTCTCCTGACTCTTGATTCATGCTCTTTGCCTTTCACTGAGCTGCCTCCAGATAGAAACACCGAACTTCCTTCAGCCTAGGCATATTCTCCCACCTTCTTCATTCTCTTCCCCTTTTCTACCCAATTCCATTCCTGGTGAGGGCAAAAGAACATTGACTAGAAGCCAACAACTTCCTGTGTAACAGCTGGGCAACTTAATCTTTCTGGAACTTGGTTTCTTGTCTACAGAATGGGAAAAATCAACCTACATCTTTCCCATGACTGTGACAAAGATTAGAGGAATTAATTGATATGAAAGATCTGTGTGGGCTGTCAGATGCTTACACATGTGAGATGCTAGTGATTTTACTGTTGTTAATATCAACTTGCCTAGCTTTGTGTCCTGTCCAGACAGTTATTCAGTTGGTCCATTCACCTGTGTTTCTAGGGGCGAGGGACGAAGACTTCCTCTGATACCTAGAAAATTAGAAAGATGTCACTATTTACAATTGTTGGGATGAATTTCCTCACAAGCCAATGGGAGTAAAGATACCAAACATTAATCACTTCAAGTGGTACAAAGGAGATTCTTAATGAGTTTTGACATATTGGTTGCAGACACCTAGAAAAATATGTTAACAGATTCTGTTGGGGGCTGCTATATGCCAGGTACTGGACAACAGTCCTGCAAGGTAGGTATGTTCATCCTCATTTCAGTTTCAGAAGTTTGGACATGCCCAAGGTCACATAACTAGAAAATGGCAGAGCTGGTAGGACTAGAAGTCAGACCTCTCTGGCCCCCACACCCAGAGTGTGAGTTCCTACCTGTGTGCCCTATTCCCTCAGAAAGGATGTCTTTAGGTCCGTCCTGAAGTAGGCAGGATGATGTACCTGACTGGGACACTATGTGATGAGGAATAGTTAAAAGAATGACACTCTCCATTCCCTTAAAACATATTCGAACATATAACAGATGTTTACTATACATAGGAAATGTCTGCAAAGAGTATACACTATTTTCAGCCACTATACACTAAAGTTGCTCAAAAATACACATGTACTTTTGTTTATGCAACATTAATTTACTGTTTACCATGCTAAGGATGTATAAGCCACAAGGTCCCTGCCCTTAAGGAAGTTACAGTTTGATGGGGAACACAAAATAAGCACTTAAATCATGCACACAAATATTCTAATATGTGCACAGTAGGTGTTTAAACTGTACGCAGTAAACCCAGAACTGATGAACAACAGCTAATCCTCAAATGCAGTAGATGCACCTGCTGTATGAACAAATTACAGGCTTGATATTCATTCATAGCTGCAATTTATAATCTTCATATCACAATAGCTATGTACATAGTATGTACTCAAATGCATGATGGGGACTAAGCACAAATAAATCCATGTACACATATTTGATAAGTACACGGCAGAATCACAAATGGCAAGCAGAAGGTAATTCATGATAGGAATTGGAAGGCTAATGAATACACTGCTGTTAAACATCCAATAGTTATTATATTGGATATATAATATATATTATGTATTATATATATATTATATATTTTTATATATTATAAATATTTATATATTATAAATATTTATATATTATATATATTTTTTAATATATATGTATGCACACACACACGGTTTAATTTGTAGGACTACATGCCATAAATGTGCACACGATTAAAGTGCACACAGAACAAGTTGAAAGTGTTCATTAAAATGCTGATTGACAATGATTCTTTGAGGGTTAAGAATAGAAACTCCATCTGGGAGACCTGTACGCATAATCTTGGACGGAATAAATATTTCCTTTCTCTTCTTGGGACTCAGGATTCTAAAACCCATAATCCCCGGGAAGGAAGCACCCTCCTGCCTTCCTTCTTTCAAAGCCCCAATTGTATCAGCGCTTACTGCGGAAAGCCCAATATTATTCCCACCACCGGAGGGCGAGGAGAAAGGTTCTCCCGCAATCAGCGACCAGAATCCATCTTCCGTGTTCGCCCGCACCGGAAGACCCGGGAGGAGTGGCTGTTGGGGCGGGGCTCGCGCCAGCGGTGAGGTCATCGAAGGGGCGTCAGCTTAGGCCCAACACCAACAACGCCAGCTCCTCTTCCGGTAGCTTTCCATAACGCGCATGCGCACCGCTGGCCTTTAAACGTGCACCGCCGGTCCATCCGGAAAAAGGATCCGGCAGTTTAATTACAATCTTGTCCCTCCGCCGCCGAAGTGGACTATTTGCTCTCAGTCTGGGAGGTACTTTTGAGTTCCCGCTTCCAAACAGGGAATCCACGCCAGCCGGTTCAGCTCGCTCCCCTTGGAATGAGCCCTTCCTAGGCTTAGCGTCAGGCAAGGTGTACGAGGCTCGGAGAGACACCCCGCGGAGGGATCCGGTTTGTTGTGGTGAGAAGGGGGAGACGCTGACAAACCAAGATGGCGGCGGCGGCGGTGAAGGCCCCGGCGGTTGGGAGGTAACTGTGGTGGTGGTGGAGACTGCAGTAGTTGGGAGGCAGCGGCAGAGTTTGGAAAGAACCGAGCGGGACGAAGAAGCGGTAGCAATAACGTCAGCCTGAGCCTTTCAGAGCGCGGCAGCTACACGCCCCCTAGGCCCTCGGCGGGCGGCGGCCGCTCCGCTTAGGGCCTAGTCCCCGAGCAGTGTCTCGGCTTCACACAGCGGCGGCCGCCATGAGTCCTTAAGGGCGGTCCGAGCTCTCCAGTCCTAGGGCCCACCATGGAGCCGGGCTCCGACGACTTCCTTCCGCCCCCGGAGTGCCCGGTGTTCGAACCTAGCTGGGCCGAGTTCCGAGACCCACTTGGCTACATCGCGAAAATCCGACCCATCGCGGAGAAGTCGGGCATTTGCAAGATCCGCCCACCTGCGGTAAGGCCTGAGGCTGGTGGTCTTCGGAGGCGAGGACGGGGATGCAGAACCAGGGTTGGAAGGGGTGGAGAAGTCTGGGGTGGAGAAGTCCGGGGTGGAGGGCAGCTTGAAGTGTGGGGAAATTGGGCGGCGGGGACCCTTGTGAATAGGGCGCCGACCGGAGAAGGGGTGTTGGGGCCATGGTTCTCTCGTGGAGTGAGGTCCCAGTTTGACCTGGAATCAGATATCGACCCCGCTCCCACCCCGCCCTTCAAAATCATTCCTGGTAAGGTTCAAGACAGGGATGCCTAGTGGGCAGGGGAGAGTTCCAGAGAGAGGCACCACCAGCACATCTCTTAGTTACCGCCCAGGTCAAGGTTTCTCTAAAGGTCTTTTCTCCCAGTGTATAAGTGAGGCAGCCTGGGGTTAGTGGAAAGATCACAACTCTGGAAACGTACCTGAGTTCAAAGCTCCACTCTGCAGCTTACCAGCTGTGTGACCTTGGATAAGTAAGGTAATCTCTCTGAGCCCATGAAATGGGTCTCACGAATGGTTCTTTCGAGAACTGGATTAAAGAAGGGTCTGTGTCGTAGGCATTAGATAAGTGGTAATTATTGTGACTGAAGATTTTTTGATGTGGTCATTAGTTTGCCCTTATGTGGGTTGACTCATATTTACTCACACCCTGCTAGGCCGATCTATCTTTGAGACTACACAGATCTGGAATACCTGTCAGGAAATCAGTCTTACAAGGAATGTTCTATCTGGTGGCTCTCCTGAGATCGGTTCAGGGAGTTGTTCTCTTTTCCTTGTTGAAGACAATGTGGGGGACTTTCTTGCACATCAACGCCCCCACCTCTCACCCACCCCTCACCCATTTCTATGTAGAGGCTTGGACAGGTCAGCTTGTGGGTGGGTAGATCCTTTTCAGAAGATTTCTACTCTGCCGTATCCCAGAATGTAGGAAATCCTAGACGATGGGGCATTTTTGGACTCCCAGAAACTGATTGGAGCTTTGGAAGCCTGCCCCTTTTAGAGCATTTGATTCCCAGAGGTCACCAACAAAAGGGCATACATATCTTTGTTCCTAGGCCTGGCTTCAGGCCAGGAGAAGTCCCCCAAGGGCTAGGCTGCTGCCTTGCTGGCATGGTGGGGAACTGATATGTGTTGTTCAGTTGACCCTTTGGGTTCTAAGATCCGGAATTAAGTTTAGGTGGAACAGGATGGGGTTTTTTTGTTGTTGTTTTTGTTTTGTTTTGTTTTGTTTTGTTTTGTTTTGTTTTGTTTTGTTTTGTTTTGTTTTTTGAGTGCGTATCTCCTGGCTGAAAGGGGATGGGATATTTCACTCCCACCTGAGGAGGGCACCACAAGCTTCCTTACTCAACTCCGTGCTTTCTGGTGCTCAGTCACAGATCTAGGCTGGTTTCAAATGGATCCTCTGGGAAGCTTTGGGCTAGCTAATTTCTTTCTTGTTGGATCCTGGCCACGGATCTCTGAGGTAGCCTTGTCCATAGTGACAGTGAGTTGAAGGCTCAGGAAGGCTAGTGGAAGGGTGAGACTGGAGACCTGGGCAGCTTCAAGGGGCACTTCCTAAAGTGGTCCAGCAGTCCTGTGGGAAAGAGGTATAAATGACATAGGGGCTAGCTAGTTGAGGCCTGAACTTCCATTTTTCTGTCTTATTCCTGTCTGGACAGGCTGGCCTTGTACAGGTGTTACCCTCATTTGGAGGACTAAGAAGGAGGAAGGTGACATGCCTCTGGGGCGGGCAGAGAGTGTGAGTGAGTGTGTGTGTCTTGAAGGAGCTTATCCTTTGTTATGTGTCTTTTTGCCAACAGTGTGCTTTCCTCCAGTCCAAGAGACCCGGCTCTCTGGTTTTGTTCTGTTTTTCCTCTTGTAAAGTTCTTCCTAGGCTCCCCTTAGGCAGCTGAGCATTCTGGATCGAATTCGAAGTGCTCACCCAGGTGGTGCTTGGACCCAGGTTGGGAGGGTGGGTGCTAGGAAATTGGAGTTTTACCTGAGGAAGTTCTAAATTGCTAGACAGCTGATTGCTAATGTTGGGGAAGGTGAGTGGGAGGAGAGTGCTGGTATCTTGGAGAAGACCCAGGGACGCTTGTAAGTGCCTTGGTTTCTCATCAGGTAACCCACTTTTTTATACCATCCTGATAATAGTGACAACGTGAGTAATTGGCATACAGGCTTATAGGACTGAAGACAGGATGGGGAATCTTGTAGGTCCCAGGGAGAATCAAGCAGAAGAGTTTGCTGGACCTTCCACAGCTCTCTGCTGCATTCACAGCTCCTGTGCTAGTATTCTCACTCTGCTGTTTCCTATTAGGTTGCTTGGTGTTATACTTATATATGGAACTTGAATGAGCATGAAAGATGGATGCCTGGAGTTGTGGGTTTGAGCGTCATTCTGCCTGGGTTAAGTGCATGAAGAGGTGTGCTCTCCTGATGGGAGGCAAGAGGGCATGGGGATCTTGCCTTGGCTTGAATCATACCATTTTGCCACCTTTTGGGAGGGGACCGAGGTAGGGGGAGCAGTTTCACTGAACCACCAGTGTTTGCTGTCTGCTACTGCTGGGGATGGGGAAGAGAGGTGTCTGTGCCTGCAAAAGGAGTCCTCTGGCTCCTTTTCCTAAGTGTGCAAACAGAAGAGGCTAATAGCTTTTTCTTCTTTATTTACTGTGCCCCTTCCATACGTACACATGTATGTATGAGCACTGGTCACCTGTTACAGTGCAAAGAGCGTTGGGCTGCAGGTTAGAAGGTATAGATTCTAGTCTTAGCTCCACCACTAACAAAGCATGTAACTTTGAAAAAAATGTATTTCTTCTCTGAGCTTCAGTTTCCCCATTTGTAAAGTGAGGACTAGGTCATTATAGGCTCATTTTACTACCCCAGCAGGAATCTAGTCTCTGGTAAGGAGACAACTGTGTGGGAGGTTTTGGAGGGGAGGACATTGGGGAAGGGGCTCTTCACAGACACCCTTTAGTAGGATAGAACAAGTTCCAATTTGGCAAGACAGCATCTCCTCCACTTCTTTCATTTTTCCCTGACCTCCTCTTCCCCAAATCCTCTACTTGCTACCACAGTCAAGTATCCCAGCACTTAGCCACCAGATTTCATCCCCTGCATCTTCCTGTACACCTGCCAGGTGGATGAGAGACAAACCCACAGTCAAGCCTTCTAGATCTAATAAGTGCAGATTCTTACTCCCAGCTCCTTGCTCCTTCCTGCAGTGTCTGTCTCAGGCTCTTTAAACTGAAGACGTTAAAGGGCCACTACCTTTAAATCCTGCCAGAATTGGAGCTAAGCTACCCTGCATGTGTATTGTGTGGTGGGTCTAAATGATGATTCCTTTAAACATTTTTTTTTTGAAAACCACTGTAATATTTCCATATTAGCCTTGTGAGAAGGCCAAGTCAAGAGTTCATATTCCCACCGTACAGATGTGAAAACAGGTTCAAGAAAGTAAAAATCCCAGTAGTGAGTAAGTAGTGAGGCTAGAACATGAACAACCCAGGTCTTCTGACCAGATCCTGTGTGCTTTGTAGTACTCCCAGACTATGTGTCCTATAGCACATACCTAGGGAATGAGACTGTGTGTGCATTTAGAGAGAGTTTGGGGTCAGCTGTTTTGGTCCTGTCTCCATTACTTGAAATCCTAGCGCTGTGCTATTGGAAAAGATTTAATAAGAGAAGTTTCCCAGGTCTGTGCTTGGGTATGGACTTAAGGCACTGCCAAAGCTCTGTTGTGAGTTCTGTGGGGGAAGAGGGGTGGATTGAGTGTTTGTTAGAGGTCTGGGGTGGCCGGAAGTTTGGGAAGGAGTGAATAGGGTTACTGAGATGCTTTTGATGCTCTCTGTTCTTGTACATGCTGGAATAACTCAGCCTTCTTTTCCCCTCTACCCATTCAGGACTGGCAGCCACCCTTTGCTGTAGAAGTGGACAACTTCAGGTTTACTCCCCGGATCCAGAGGCTGAATGAACTAGAGGTAAGAAGACTAGTAGCTGGTGGTGAGGTTGGGAGAATGGATATCTGAGCTCTGATCCCACTTCCCTCATACTTTCTCTGGCTAAGGTACTTTACCCTAAGGCCATTATTCTTTATTCTGTGAAATTGCATAAAGCGCATGGAAGAAGCTTTAGAATTTTGAATATAACCAGGATCATGGGACATTTAGCAAAGGCTGAGGATGTCCCTTTCCCACAAAAGTTTACTACTGCTAAAGTTCCTGTCAAGTGACCTGCGTTACCTAGATTAACAAAAGGAAAATATGAGACTTGCTAAAACTCTTTCTAGCTTGTCCAGTTGAGTGTTACCTCTCCTATCCAATTTATCCACTACCCTGTGCTTCCTACCTTCCTGCCAGAGTAGCAGGTGAAGTAGATGGGTCGGAACAACACAAGAACTCTGGTCTATGTGTTGGGTGAGTTGATTACAAAGTTGGACAGGGGGTCAGGCCCATTGCATGGATAGGTAAGGTTCTCTCTTGAGACTGTCCTTATGTACATGAGAGTAGGTGTCCTGAAGCCAGGTCTCAGTAAGGACGTGGAAAATGTAGACTACAATTATGCCACTACCTCTCTGCCTCATTGTTACGTTTCTTCAACCCTTACTCACATGTCCAGGGGCAGAGGGAGTGTTAGGCCCCACTGAACATCCCAACCTAAAAACTTAGTTGTCTTCTACATGACAGTTTTGGTACTTTTGACATTTTGGGTCATACAATTTTTTTCTCATGCCATACTATCCTGTGCATTGTAGAATATTTATCAACATCCCTGGCTTCTCACTAGTTGCCAGTAGTACCCTTTCCCAGTTATGGCAACCAGAAAGGCATTTGGGAACAGATTTGCCTCTCATCAAAGAACCACTGTTCTAGAGTTCATCTAGGTGCTGTTCTGGTCTGAACAAAAATCATCAAAAATCATTTATCATAGAGATTTCAAGTTCCTTAAAGAAATGGATATGACCAGTCTTTGGGAATACATCTGGGGCAGGGTATCACCTGTCATGGGACAGGGGCAGGTTTACTGAGGTAATCGAGAGATAGTGTTGGCTAATGAGGAGCAGGGATGATGCCATGGTTGGAAAGCTAAGGAGTTTGGAAGCAGTAAGATTTCTGATCCCTTCCTTAAGGGACAGCACAGCTAAGGAACCATACATCGACCTTAATTTTCCTCATCTATGAGATGTCCCTTCCCCCTAAAGGGATCAGAGCAAGTAGTGAATAGCAATGAATAGCTAGTTCTTCTGAGAACCAGACCCTTTGACCAGAGTGTGGCAGTTGTAGACTTGGGGCTTTGGAGAGCCCTTTGTGGGTCTCTGAGGTCACTTGAGTCACTGAAATTTCAGGGAAACATGGCATGTACTTTGTTCCTAGAATTTTTAGCCTATGTTGGCTCCTGAGTTGACTTGGTGCCAGTGCTCTTTTGTTATACTATCTTAATTCTTTAGATCATTGTGTCTCTAGCATGTACGCTCACACTTCAGCTGTCATAAAACAAGTTTCATGTGCATATGAGATGAATGTGGTCTTTTGGAGCCTGTATTCTCTGAAACATGCCCAGAATTTAGATAGCCCCTTCCCAGCCCCTGGAGTTTCCATTGTCCCTACATTGTTCCTCTCATAAATCTACCCTTCTGGGCTAAGTGGACTAGGCAGTTATTTTATCACCTTTTTGAAATCAGAAAACAGGTTCCAGAGTAGAGCTGATTTGCTGGAGGCTATACAGCAAATCAGTGGTAAAGGAAAAGCTGAAACTTAAGTTACTTATTTCACCTCCAATCTCTTGCTACCTGCTGTGTGTGGCTTTAGGAAACAGCCTCTCTGTAAAAGATGGTGATACACAGCACTGTTGGGAGATTAAGAGAGTATGTGTAAAAGCTTTGTTTTTTTGTTTTTTAAGATTTACTTTTTTATGCATACAGAACTGGGGTAAAGGCCAGAGGTGCAGGGGCGGTGAAAGAATTCACCAGAGACAGAGTGGGGAGCAGAACAGGCAGGTCGATTCGATGAAGTACAGTGCCAAGGAGAGCAGGAGGCGGGTCAGGAGAGGTCTGCTGCGCCATGTGGGTTGCCTTCCTGCCAGGGATTGAACTCGTGCTGCAGTGGCTGTGGATAGCTTCATAGTGCTGTGCTTTAATCCGTTGCACCACAAGGGAGGGCCCTAATGCTTTGGTTGGACCTAGGGCTTACCCTCTTGACTTGAGGGTGACAGAGATGAGAGAGGTAGGCTAAGCACTGCGTAGAGTTTGGAACCCAGTTCATTGGGAGAGCCCCTAAGAGTGGGCTGCTCATATCCTTTCTCCTCCCCTAAGATTAGGCCAGAAGACAGAGTTAGGTGGAGGGGAAGGCCAGCTTCTTTGAGCCATATCTTCTCTAGGCCCAGACCAGAGTGAAACTGAACTACTTGGACCAGATTGCCAAATTCTGGGAAATCCAGGGCTCCTCCTTAAAGATTCCCAATGTAGAACGGCGGATTTTGGACCTCTACAGCCTCAGCAAAGTAAGAACAGGTTTTTCTTAAACTCCTACCCACCTCACTCCCTAATACTCCTTATATTCTGGGGGCTTCCTTGGCTTAGCTATTGAACCTCTAGTCTGCAATAGAAAGGGCACAGCCTGGTAGCGCACAAGCTGTCTTTAGAACTTCTTGGCATCTCTTGCTGCAATTTGAGCCTGAGTGGTGGTAGTGGGAGGTGGGGGTAGCTCCCAGTGAATGAGGGACCGGAGTTGTCCTCATTGCCCTTTCTACAGGTCTACTTCTTCATGTGTATACACACAACACATCCATGTTCCTTCCCACTTCTTGTAGATCGTGGTGGAAGAAGGTGGTTATGAATCCATCTGTAAGGACCGTCGGTGGGCCCGGGTAGCCCAGCGCCTCAACTACCCACCAGGCAAAAACATTGGCTCTCTGCTACGCTCCCATTATGAACGCATCGTCTATCCCTATGAGATGTACCAGTCTGGAGCTAACCTAGTGGTAAGAATGCCTGACTAGGGTTTCCCCTCAGATGCTGATTTCCACACTTGCTCTTAATGGAACTGGGTCAGTGAGCTGGAGACCTAAAAACCAGATTCCATCCTTTGAGTGGCCTATACTCTAAGGAGAGGTCTTTTGGGCTGGAGAGGTCTAGGAAGAGATGCAGTCTGATTTAGTTGGGGAAGTAGTTGGAGGAATGGGGTAAGCAAAGACATGAGAATTTTCAGTGTGTATTCTGGTGTTAGTGGTAAAGACCAATTGACTGGGACCTATTGGTGTGTGTCAGGGGGTTGTAACCACAGCTTTGGTTTGCCCTTGGGTGAGGCTAGCGGTATATCCTTGCTGTTGGGAACTAGGACCCCATGCCTTGACCCTTACCCCTGACCTGTCCCCAGCAGTGCAATACGCGTCCATTTGATAACGAAGAGAAGGACAAGGAATACAAACCCCACAGCATTCCCCTTCGGCAGTCTGTGCAGCCTTCCAAGTTCAATAGCTACGGCCGGCGGGCTAAGAGACTACAGCCTGATGTGAGTACTTTCCTTGTAAATTAGAGCTTTAAGATAGAGACATTCTTCACCCTCCCTCTGGCCAAGGCTCTGCTCTGCATTCTACTCTCCTTTCCCTTGGTTCTCTTAAGCAGTATTGTGCCTCTCTCTGGCTTTACTTTCACTCTTTACTCTCAGCTGAACTTATAAGCTGGGACTTGATCTGTTCAAGTAATAGCTTTTCTTGCCTACCTTGTTCCTGACTCACTCTGCTGAAAGGGTAGAACTCTTCTTTCTCCTTATATTTGTCTCCTAGTTAGGCACTAGAGATGTAACAGAGGAAGACAGGCACTGTTCCTGGGTTCAGTGAAGCATAAATTTAGCAGCTCTTATTAGTCATTGCCATTTATTGGTAGTGCCAAACTCGGTTGTTTCGTCATATATATTAATCCTCACATCCCCTTGTAACTGTAAAGTAGGAGTTAACATTCTTATTTTACAATTGGAAAAATTGAAATCCCATCTTAATTTCTTTCCAAGAGAGGGGTGAAGGAGGCATCTCACTTGCCCCTACTTTCCAAAAAGCAGCTCTGGCCCACCTATGCCTCAGCCCCCAGCAGAATCTCAGGTGATATATCGTCAGTTATTTTTCTTTTAGGATGTGGCTGTCTGCCCCAGATAGCAGTCTTGATTCATTTTCTTTTCTTCTAGCCGGAGCCTACGGAGGAAGACATTGAGAAGAATCCAGAGCTGAAAAAGCTACAAATCTATGGGGCAGGCCCCAAGATGATGGGCCTGGGCCTCATGGCTAAGGATAAGACTCTGCGGAAGAAAGGTAAGACCTGATAGGCTGGGGCACTGCCAAAGGTGGCCTCCCCGTGGGGGAGGAGGTAGGTTCCTGACTGTTCCAGAACTGTTCTTTAGAATCTCTCTCTACTCTCTTAGATAAGGAAGGGCCTGAGTGTCCTCCCACTGTAGTGGTGAAGGAGGAGTCAAGTGGGGATGTGAAGATGGAGTCAGCCTCACCCAAGACCTTCCTGGAGAGCAAGGAGGAGCTAAGTCACAGCCCAGAGCCCTGTACCAAGATGACGATGAGGCTGCGGCGGAACCACAGCAATGCTCAGTTTGTAAGAACCCATCCCTGACTACCTAATACTCTTAACTTCTTATCCCTTCAACAAGAATTTCCCCAGCATAGCACTGGACAAGGTTGCGTTAAATAGAAAAGTAGGCTTGGTGGGCCCTGTCCTCAGGTAACCCACTTAACTGGGGAAACAAAGCCAACTCAAATAGAGCAAGGAACAAGAAAAGGTGATCAAGTACTGTCAACATGAGTGCTAGAAGGGCTAACTAAGCTCCTTACTGCCATCCAGTATCCATTCCCTGCTGACCTCTAGCCTCTTGCCCAAACTGCCCACCTCACTTCTCTGCTGTGGCCACACTGAACTACTTGGAGGTGTGTTCATTTCTTTCTCTTGAGACGTGCCGTGCTTTCTCATCCCCATCCTTGGCACATTTCTTCTGCCTGGTAGAGTTTCCACCTCTGTTCCACCCCGTTGCCAGACTTCAGTCAGTTTCAAGTGTCATATTTTCAGTGAAACTCTTACTCAATCCTGTCCTTAATTCCCAGCTGATTTGAGTGCTTCCTTCTCTAGGCTCCCACAGTACCCTTTATGGACCAGTTTCTACACCGCCCTTAAGTTTCTATGTACATGTGTGTCTGGAGTACTGTATACCATTAGAACATGGCTAGATTTGTCACTATGCTACAGAGTTCAGCATATTGTTGAACCCACAGTGTTGAGTGTTAATTGAATGAATCAAAATGGGGAAACAACTGCTTTATTACCTCTTTTAATACTTCACTTTATCTTGGGAGAGGTTATATGCATGTAGTTAAACTTGTCATAACTACCCTATACAGGGCCATGAATGACCAGCCAGTGCATACAGCAGGTTTCTAATGGAAAGGACTGAACTAGGGTACTCTGGAGGGGCCTAATGATTAAAAAGGGGATAGGGCTTAGTTTGAGAAAGTTTTGCCTCCCTTCCCTGGCAGATTGAGTCATATGTATGCCGGATGTGTTCTCGAGGGGATGAGGACGACAAGCTACTGCTGTGTGATGGCTGTGATGACAACTACCACATCTTCTGCCTGCTGCCACCTCTGCCTGAGATTCCCAAGGGTGTCTGGCGGTGCCCGAAGTGTGTTATGGCGGTAAGACCTTCCCAGTCCTTGCCTGCCTTCATCAAGCCTTATTGAGAGTAACCTTCGAGCTCAGCCACAATTGTATGTTTCGGATCCCTGTGTTAGGGCTAGGCTGGGCAGAGCTTTGGGAGAAAGAGGAGACTCAGGCTTTGCTTGTGTCCTTTGGGCACTCTTACACCACCTGGTGAGGTAAGAGTCATTAAACAGACTGATGACATGTAGTCAGATACTAAATCAAGTGTTAGGAGCTCTGAGGTGTAGAAATTTAGAGGTGAGGAAAATAAAGTTAGTAATCTGGGGAAGTGTCAGGAATGAAATTTGAAGGATAGGAATATGAAGGAAATGGTGTTTTGTTTTAAGAAAGTTTAAACAAATTACTTATCTTACCACCTAATGATAACCAGGTAAATAGTCTGTTAATTATCAGGTATATTTACTGCATCTGTATGATAATTTTGAGCAAATTTGGGACCTTATTGTATATTTTCATTTATTACTCCTTTTTCTATATCCATGGATGATGGTTTTTTGGTTTTGTTTTGTTTTTTCATGTAGGGTCCAATGGGGCATAAAGTTCTGTTGCAATAGATTGGTTGCAGTGATGTAGGTTTTAATTGGAAGGAGTAGTCAGGTGTTCCAGACTTGGGGTGAGAGGAATGCAAGAGTAAAGGTCTACTCGCAGGGAATACTGAAAGCAGAGGGAGAATTTACCTACTGTAAGAGAGGCAACAAGGAGAGCAGCTGAAGCAGGAGTGAAGGTTAAGAGGTCTGGGATTGTCTGTTTCACAAGCCTTCTAGTTTCATCCAAATCCTGAGTGCTCATCTGCATTTCTCTGTGGGTTTCTGGAGAGTATGTGTTGATAGCTTTTTGCTTTGACTTAGGGAGTTGATTCTACTACTTGTAGAAACGTGCACACACAGATGAGGAACAAGGACCGAGGCAGTGTGTGATAGCCTTGGTAGTAGTGGAGGTTCCATTAGGGAATGGACAGTTTATAGGCTGGGTGTATGTATAGCTCTCATTTAAAACCATAGGTATACAATGAGGCAAAATGATGTTCTGTCTTTTGAGGTAGTTTAAAGAATAGGAACAGTGTATGGTTTGACACTGTAGAGACTCGTACTTCCGTTTTTTATCCTCCAACATACTTGAATGTTTGTCCAGTTTCCCAGGCCTGTAGTTGTAGTCTGGACATAGAAATATGCCCCTGAGCACCTTGCAGAAAACTCACATTTTTGTGCAAGAAGAAGAAATGGTAACAGAAGTACATAGAATAGTGTATTTGAGTCAGGGCCTGTGGTTCAGCAGTCCTAAAGGAAGAGGAGCAAAACCTTACTAGAGAGTGCCTGTAAGAATAAGAAGACTTAGGTGAAGTTGCAGGAGGAAAAGGTGGCACTCCATAGTATGCCTCCCTCGGTGGCCCTGAGTGTAAACCTGGGGCTCTTCTATGTCCCTATTCCTACCCCATATTCAGTTCCACCTTTGAGGATTCTCCACCTCTTTGCCTCTGCCTCGGTGACATGTTCTTTGGGTTTCAGGAGTGTAAGCGCCCCCCCGAAGCCTTTGGCTTTGAGCAGGCTACCCGGGAATACACTCTGCAGAGCTTTGGCGAGATGGCTGACTCCTTTAAAGCCGATTACTTCAACATGCCTGTACACGTAGGTGATGGAGGACTGGGGTCGTAGGTGTTGGTGCCTGATGGTCTCAGCTCTCCTGGGTCAGTTGGGCCAGGATATGATGAGTCTTGGTCATCTGTTACCCCTATTCCCCAGATGGTGCCCACAGAACTTGTGGAGAAGGAATTCTGGCGGCTGGTGAACAGCATCGAGGAAGATGTGACTGTTGAATATGGAGCTGACATCCATTCCAAAGAATTCGGCAGTGGTTTCCCTGTCAGTGACAATAAGCGGCATCTGACCCCTGAGGAGGAGGTGAGTTGGTGACTCACAGTTAATATATCAGTGTGAGCTTGGGCAAGTCATTTAGTACCCGAAAGACTATAAACTCTTTAGGATAGAGATGATTAGGCCTGCTTTACATGGATGCTGTAAGATTTAGATGAGATGATGGTGATTAAGAACACAGCCAAGTTATGTGGCATGGCGTCTCTAGCCATGAGATTGGCAATTTCCTTGTCCGTAGAATGGGATAGTGTTTGTTAATAAATTAATTGAGACAACACATGAAATATCTGACAGTGCTTGGCTCATTCATAAGAAATGTCCAGGGATTGGAACTGTGTGTGCAGTAAGGACCTCTGCATGTTTCAAGGGAAGGGTGCATTTGTTCCTGAGCAAAATCTTTTAACTTAAAAGTATTTTTGGTGGGTGGGTGCATCTCCCTGAAAATGAATTGAATTGAAATTTTGTGTATGTCTTTGGAAATGGGAAGAAGACACTTTTTAGATGTTTCAGAATGAGTTGTGACCTCAAAATTAAGGTCCCCTGGACTAGCAATCTCAGCTCCTTAGCTAATTGTCATCCTCTTTCTGCAAATACCTGACCTGACAGGAATATGCTACCAGTGGGTGGAACCTGAATGTGATGCCAGTATTGGAGCAGTCCGTACTCTGCCACATTAATGCAGATATCTCCGGCATGAAGGTACCCTGGCTTTATGTGGGCATGGTCTTCTCAGCCTTTTGCTGGCATATTGAGGATCACTGGAGTTACTCCATTAACTACCTCCACTGGTGAGCTGGGGCCCTGGGAAACCAGGGAGGCATTTAGGATGGGCTTCCTCAAGGCCATGGATGTGACCATTCTTTGTCTTTCACCTTGAACAGGGGTGAGCCAAAGACCTGGTATGGGGTACCTTCGCTTGCAGCAGAACATTTGGAAGAAGTCATGAAGAAGCTGACACCTGAGCTCTTTGATAGCCAACCTGACCTCCTGCACCAACTTGTCACCCTCATGAATCCCAATACCCTCATGTCCCATGGTGTGCCGGTGAGTGCCCAGGAAACAAGGACAAGGGTAGGAATGAGTTAGTGGCAGCCTTTGCGGTGGTTGTCATCTGGAATCTACTGTCCATTTCTCGTTTCTGTTCTTAGTTGGGACTGTAGATTTGATGGGTCTTAGGGACCAAAAATAGTGGTAGGATGTGCAGTGTGATGGTGAACTCTCTGGGTTATGTGTTCAAGGGCCACACATTAGGGATGGTTTCTTATATTTGCATTCCAGCCAGTAGAACAAAGTAGAGGAAAGATGGGGCAAGACCATTTGTCTTCCTCACGAGGGGACCAACCATTTCTAGTCATCTGATAGTCATAACCTAGTCACATAACCACATCTAACTGCAAGCAAAGCTGGGAGATTTAATTCTTATTTTGGGTGGTCATGTACCAGCTACAAATTGAAGGTCATGTTATTATGAGAGAAGCTGAGACTGAATATCAAAGGACAACTAGCAGTCTTCTGTCATACTTCCTATACTGTAAACCTTCCTGGAACAATGACTAGTAGGTCTTTTTATCTCTTTAGCAGGTCAGAAGTTTTTGTAGTAATCATTTTTAATATATAAGTGTGTAAGATTATATTATATATTATACACCTTAAACAATGTTAGATGGGAAGAGGGGAAGGTAACTGCAAATAAAAGTACCGGTATATTTCAAGAGATAAGAAAAGTGAATCATAAGCCACTACTGGAATATCTGAGAACCAACATGATTTATACATTGTAATCCTCCAAGGGTTCAGTAGTTGGTGGCCAGATGGTCTGAGAGTAAAGGTAAACAGGGTAAAAACAGGATTAGTTCATGTCTGTAAGAAGCAATGAGATCCCCTCTACTCTGGGCACTCGAAATGTGATTCCCCTTTCCCTAATAAACAACTGGAGATTTACTTTGGAACGGGTTAAAATAGAAGACCTTACTCATGAGATCTTCTGTTTATAGTTGAGGTACAGTTGAAAATAGTAGGATTTGTCATTGTATACATACTTAATGCTGAGGGTCCCAGCCATCCTCCTCCACTTGGAATTTTCCCTGGGTAATCTGGCCAAAAAGGTAAGATCTCAAATTAAATGACTTAGCCATGCCACCCTATTATAAACTTCACTTTGATTTTCAAAGCTTCCTTTCAGCTTTGCACAGATTAACAGATAACTAAGGAATTTCTTGCAAACAGTATAGAACTAAACAAAAAGAAACTTGGAGATTAGGCAGGGAGAAGTAAGCTTCAGAGGCTAGTATATATTGCAAGCATATAATTACACTATATCTTTTTAAAAGAATATATAACAGAAAAGAGTTCTTGAAAATTAGATCAAAAGGTAAAATCTTTTGAAACAATAAGTTTAGAACATCAGGAATTGAGGAAATCACCCATAAAATTGGGTTAAAAAATAAAGATTGGGAAAAGAGAGAAAATGAGTTTGTCAAGAGGTTTAGTATCCAAGTAAGAGATCTGAAGTGAGAGATAGTGAACACAAAAAGGTCAAGTCATTTATGCAGTAGTTCAGAAAAATCTCCTAGAAAGAAAACATTGAGTTTCCAGAATCAAAGGGACTAACTACCCTGGACCTGAATGAAAACAGATATATAGTGAAGTGTGTTTAGTGGATTTTTATATTGTACACTGGGACCAGAAAAATCCCAAAAGCTTCCTGAGAGAAAAAACAGATTTAATTCAAAACATTAGACATCAGAATTGGTTCATCTTTTTTTGAACACTGGCATCTAGAAGACTAGAGCAATGCCTTCAAAATTATTTTTAACTTAGAATTTTATGTGCAGTCAAATTATCAAGTATGGAAGTGGAGTGGGTATTTCTTTTCACCCCCAAAATAGTTTTACCCAACATTTCCCAGGAAGCTCTGCAATATATTCTCAAGCACAGCAAAAGAATAGAAAAGAATGAGGAAGACATGGAATGTAGGAAGTAGGAGAGTGGTGATCCAGAGAGAATATAGCTGGTCCAGATTGAACAAATCATAAGGCTACATGAGAGACTGCTGCACACAAGGGGAAAACTGGTCAGAAAGAGGAGAGTCAGGGTTTCCCTGGTAGACTAGGGGTTACGTCCCAGCATTATCACCATTAAGACCTGACTGCTATTTCAGCCAGGGAGCTAACCCACATCTGGCACAGCAGCCCTCTCCAGTTCTTCTGCTGCTCCTTTCCAGTATATTCTAGTAAATCCTCCTACACACACACCTACTTCACCTCTGGCCTGCACTGCAGTTCTACGCAAAAGTAAATAAATGAAATCTTAAAAAAAAAAAACTGGACATTTGTTTGAAAGGTTGGATTAAGTTGTACATATTTAGAAAGCAAAGCAAATTGAGAGGCAGGAGGCTATTTTTAATAAATCTAGAGACATGTTACTTAGGGTTGTTATAGTAAAAAAAAATAATCAGAAAAGGTGAAAGTGATTGGCTCTGGGGGAGTGAAGAAGGGACTGCTGACTTTAGAACAAACATTGTGGAACTATTTGGCTCTTGAAACTGTGGCAGATAGAAATAAATAGTAATAAAACTTGGCCAGCTCAATGAAGTCTGTTACTTTATATTTTTATAAAAATTAGAGAAGGTGACATATTTGGTATGTGTATTTCCTACCTTTACTCAGAGCTTTCTGTGAACTTACAGTGCAAATAAAAACCTTGAGAACAGGGACTAACAGTGGTCCTTTCACAGTTGGAGGGCCTGGGAATCTGGTTAGACTGTTCTTAAGACATTGTCTCCTTAAGGGCTGTGCACTTAGATGGGGTTTCTCCAGACTGAGAAACCTTTGTCTTAATGACCTTGGCATTTCTTTCTCAGGTTGTTCGCACAAACCAGTGTGCAGGAGAATTCGTCATTACCTTCCCCCGTGCTTACCACAGTGGCTTCAACCAAGGCTACAATTTTGCTGAAGCAGTCAACTTTTGCACTGCTGACTGGGTGAGTCTAGAGTGTGGTGGACTCCAGGGAGAAGCAGGAGGGTCGCAGGAAACTGAGGCACTATTGCCTCCAGGCTTGGCCACACTCAACTTTGAACCTGTCCACAGTTGCCGGCTGGGCGCCAGTGCATTGAGCACTACCGCCGGCTCCGAAGATACTGCGTCTTCTCCCATGAGGAGCTCATCTGCAAGATGGCTGCCTGTCCAGAGAAGCTAGACCTGAACTTGGCGGCAGCTGTGCATAAGGAGATGTTCATCATGGTGCAGGAGGAACGTCGTCTACGAAAGGCCCTGCTGGAGAAGGTGGGTGGTAGAAGGGTTTCCTGCCTCAGGCCTCCTAATCTGGCAGAAATTGGGGGGTTGAAAGGGGCACACCAAAAAGTAGAAGATAAAGCCTTGGAGTACTGAAAAGAACTAGACACATCTGGATTGGAAACCACATTCCATTTTCAATTTTCTTAACTGAGCATATCCCCATATGAAAAGTGGGGGTTAAAATAGTACTTATCTTGTTGAACAGTTAAGTGGATTTAAGATGTTTGTTATATAATTGACCCACAGTGTATGCTGTGCTGATTATCTGGATGACCTTAAATTCTCATCTCCCTTTCCAACCCTATAAACTGAGTAAATACCTAACTTGCAAGATGATAGTAAAGCTTGAGTAAGGTGGTTTATGTCAAAGTATCTGTTACTGTGCTCGCAGTGTAGCGGCTGTTATTATTGATAATATTCATATATGAAGAACATGATTAAAATGTAGAACATTTCTAGGGAAATGCTATTCATTACATTCAGGTGGTTTGGTAGCTCCATCCAGGATAATATTGCCAAATAGAATGCAGTCTTCCTCAATTCCTCATAAGCATATGTTTTGTGTGTAGATTAATGGGACCTCTGACTCCCCAGTGTATCAGCTGCCCTAACGCTTCACACTTGAAATTGACTCAGAGTTCCCCATGAGATTGCAAAGGAATGTTGGTCCTGAAGGATCCTTTGCTTCCTGTTTAGGGTAATAGTTTCTTATTTTAAAGCTCATATATAATGTTCTAACAGCATGGATTATAAGGAGAACTGGCAGCTGTAGTAAGTGTTGGAAATCTAGGGACTGTCCATCTGTGGCATCAGTTCATAAGCCCCTGAACTTTTACAGGTGTGATTTTCTCTCTGTTTAGTGCTGTTATTAAATGATGACCCTGGGTCTCTGTCAATTTACAGAAAGGAACCAAAGCCAGTTGAAAAAACTAGATGTTCTCATTTTGACATTGACTTGATTCTTACCTTAAAAGAAGGGTTATGGACCCTCTAAACTTTAAAACTTCTATAAAAGGTTTTGTGTGAGTGTACATTCTGGGGAGAGGGCTCATAGTTTTCAGAGGAGCTCATGATCCAAAAATACCTAGGGGCTTTAATTGACCACAGTCAGAGTCTCAACTGGGGGCAAGTTACTGGCTCTCCAGTAAGTATTTGTTGAGCTTTTTTTTTCCCCCCCTCTAAATATCATGCTATACAATTGATCTCCAAAACTTGGGGGTTTTTGTATTTACTCATCTTTTAGCTAGAAATTTCTACCTTCCAATCAACATCTCCCCTTTCCTCACCTCCAGTCCTTAGCAACCACCATTCTATTCTGCTTTTGAGTTCAACTTTTTAAGATTCCACATACAAGTAATATCTTGTAATTATTTGTCTGACTTATTTTACTTAGTATTATGCTTTCAAGCTTCATTCATGTTGTCACAAGTGTTCAGGATTTTCTTGTTCCTCAAAGAATGAATAATATTCCATTGTGTATGTCACACATCCATTGACTTACTTACTCTTAGGTTGTTTTTACAATCTGGCTATTGCGAATAATCATTAAATGAACATAGTGGTGTGGATAACTTTTTAAGATTTTTATTTCATTTCCTTTGGTTATATATTCGGTAGTGAATTGTGGGACTACATGGTAATTTTAATTTTTTGAGAAATCTCAGTACTGTTTTCTGTAGTGACTACATTATTTTATATTCCCACTACCAGTGCCACAAGGACTCCCTTTTTCTATATCCACGCCAGCACTTGTTATCTCATATCTTTTTGATGACAACCATTCTCACAGGTGTAATGGGATATCTTGTGGTTTTGATTTGCATTTCCCTGACAGTGATAATGAGCCTTTATTTATGTACCTGTTGGCTCCTATTGGCCATTTTCATTGGTCAAACAGTCAGATCATTTGATATTTTTGTTTCCTGCTGATTTGTATGAGATACTTAGGTATTTTGGAGACTAACTCTGAATTCGATGTGGTTTGCAAATGTTTTCTTTCATTCTGTAGGTTGCTTTTTTGTTAATTTTGCTATGCAGATGCTTTTCAGTTTGATATAGTTATATTTGTTTTTGTTGCTTATGCTTTTTGTGTCATATTCCAAAAAATCATTGCTTAGACCAATGGCAAGGAGCTTTTCCCTATTTCCTACTAGAGTTTAATGGTTTGGGGGGGGGGTCTTATGTTTAAGTTCTTAAAACATTTAAAATTATTATTTATGGATAGTTTAAGGGGCCAGCTTCACTCTTCATGTATTCATACAGTTTGCCTAACACTACTTATCGAAAAGACTATCCTTTTCCCATTGAATATTCTTGAATCCCTTATCAAATAATAGTTGACCGTATATGCAAGGATTTAGTTCTGGTCTTGATTCTAGTCATTGGTCTTTTTTTTTTTAATGCCAGCACCACACCGTTTTGATTACTGTTGTTTTGTAGCATAGCTTGAAATCAGAGCACATGATTTTCAGCTTTGTTTTTCTTTCTCAAGATTGCTTTAGTTATGCATAGTCTGTTTTGATTTTACTTATTTTAAGTGCTAAGATGTTTTTCTAAGTCCTTAGTTGTTTAACCTTACTAATCCTTATCACAGCACATTGAGGAAAGTACTATTATCTCCATTTTACAGGACAGGGAAACTGAAATTTAGAGAGATTTAAATGAACCTTAAATTTACTCAAAATCACTCAGTTGATAAGTAGCAGAGCAGGATTTGCAATGGGCAAAGGATTCATATTTTATGCAGAGGTTAGATGTTAAGTTTGGTATAGAAGACAAAAATTCTAAGAGTCAAAATTACCCTTTAAAGTTCCTAAAATTGCCATATCTGTCTTTGTATTTTACTCCAATATTAGCTTTTCTTCCATTTTTGGAATGGATTTTTTTTTTTCTTCATCAGAGCAACAGAGAAAATTATTAGCCTACATTTGAAACCATTACTGGGAGAAAATTTCTTTTTATCATTAAACATTGGGCACAAACACTTACTTCTGTAAGTAATATATGTCCACACAGTGTGCCTATTCAACAATCATCATGGTGCATAAAATACATTGGGCACTGAATGACTGGAAGTCAGCCTTGTTCCCCAGTACCCAGCCTTTCTCTGGACCACTCCCACTAATTGCTACCTTTCTGGTGCCTGGCCCACCACTTTCATCACTACCTCTTACCCTAAAATCCTTTTTTGCTTACCTGAATCTTACCTGATTTTTCCTCATCTCAGCCTATTGACTCATTTCGTCCCCCCCCAGTTTTGAAAGTCTGGGTTTTACAGAGGCATTGTGCTCTATAGAATTTGATCTCCCCCACAGCTCTCAGCACAGACATGAATCTAAAGTGGTACTTGGTGGTGACTGAAATCAGGGTTTCTCTGACCCTCTTCTCGTTCTACATATAGCTCTTTGTTAACTTAGGACAGGTTGTATCCTAATAAACCCCATTGTAAGTTGAAAATCTATCAGACATCATAGTTTAACCTAACCTACCTTAAATATACTCCAAATAGTTACATTAACTTATCATTAGGGCAGAATCATCTGACACCAAACAATTTTATAATAAAGTGTTGAATATGTTTCATAATTTATTGAGTTACATGACTTTACTGTCTAGAGCTGTGGCTCCCTGTTGATGCTCAGCATTATAAGAGAATCTTACTCCATATATCACTAGCCCCAGAAAAAGATTAAAATTTGAAGTATGATTTCTATTGAATGTGTACTGCTTTCATACCATCATCAGGTCAAGAAATTGTACGTTGAACCATTGTAAGTTGGGACTCTTAGTAACTAGTGTGGGTTGACCTACCCCCAGGGCATCACGGAAGCTGAACGAGAGGCTTTCGAGCTGCTCCCTGATGATGAGCGCCAGTGCATCAAGTGCAAGACCACATGCTTCCTATCTGCCCTGGCCTGCTATGACTGCCCAGATGGTCTTGTCTGCCTTTCCCACATCAATGACCTCTGCAAATGCTCTAGTAGCCGGCAGTACCTGCGGTGAGCAGGGGCCCTACCTGGAGGAAGTGTACCAAGGAGGAGGATGCAGAGCTGGGCCAGATGTGCTCTGCCCTGCCCTCTTCCCCCAGGTATCGGTATACCTTAGATGAGCTCCCTGCCATGCTGCATAAGTTGAAGGTTCGGGCCGAGTCCTTTGACACCTGGGCTAACAAAGTGCGAGTGGCCCTGGAGGTGGAGGATGGACGGAAGCGCAGTGAGTGATGGGGGGACGGAGGGACTCCACAGGCAAGTTCTATTCCCTTTTCTTCTGTACCCCCCACCCTTTTCCTCTGCCTTTACTCAATACTGCCTGCTCCTTGCTGCTCATTCTCTCTCCAGGCCTTGAAGAGCTGAGGGCACTAGAATCTGAGGCCCGTGAGCGGAGGTTTCCTAACAGTGAGCTGTTGCAGCGACTGAAAAATTGCCTGAGCGAGGCAGAGGCTTGCGTGTCCCGGGCTCTGGGATTGGTCAGCGGCCAGGAAGCTGGGTATGGCATCATGAGGTGCTGGGCACAGATAGCCTGCTCAGGAACCAGAACCTGGGAAAATTAAAAGGGGGGTGAATTCTGACTAACATTGAGTAGACTTAACCAGCTGAAGGAAGCTGACAGCTGTAGTATGAAGTGCCCCTCACATTGGGGTGGCAAAGAGACCAGACAATTAGAATTGAGAAGAGAAGTACATCTCAGTGTGAGGAAAGCTAGAAATGTTTATTGGTACCTGGAGCAGATTTCAGGCAGGCTTTGTAGTCAAAGAAGAATTGGTAAAGGGTTAGTGGCAAGAAAAGAGCACAAGCATAAACCTGATCATAGCTACAGAATTGTAGAGTTCTCTGTTCTCGTCTTTTCCCTCATTGTGTGAACATACATTATCATGTGAACATGCCCTCTAACCTGGGCATCTGGGGTCTGGAAAATATTGGGGGGGGGGATCTGGAATATGAGCGCTCAAGGTGGGCAGGGTGAGGAAAGGTGTTGGGTCTCATCACAGAGCTGGAGGGAGGGAACTGGATTTGGACCTGAGGCCCCATATGTGAAACTCCATAGCTCCCACAGGGTGGCTGGTCTACAGATGACCCTGGCTGAGCTCCGGGCCTTTCTGGACCAGATGAACAACCTGCCTTGTGCCATGCATCAGATTGGGGATGTCAAGGTGAGGAGGGGTGGAAATGGAATGCTGCTAAGGGGTCGGGGGACTGGGGGAACTTGAACAGCAAGCTACTCTTGGCTCCCTTAAGTGTTTGAACAAGACAGGATGCACATATGAGAAAAATAATGGGAGCTAGAAGACAAAGGGTAGCAACTGCCTCTTACAGATGAGATTGGAGAGGGCAGATGGAACAGGTGTTAAGTCCAAGATTCCTGATGAAGGCAGCAGAAGAGAAGGAAGGAACAAGGATGTGGGCCTGGGAAGCTGAGTCAAGTTCAGTAAGCTAGAGAAGTGGGATGGAGAGGGCAGTGGACACCAGCATGAGCATAGGGCTTTGTGAGAAGCCAAACATGGTATTTTCAGGGGAGAGGGTGTCCTGATGCCATATAACAGACTCCTGTGGGGACTTAAATAAAGTGCTGACTTTAGACCAGCCATTATTAATCTCCCAGGGTAGAGCCCAAGAATCTGTATCTTAAAAAACTCCCCAGGGCATTCTAACAGGCAGAGTGTTAGGAAATCATGTGAAGGAGAAGAGCCCGGTCATGTTAGACTCTTCCCAAAAGACTGGAGGGTAAGACAAGGAAGGTGGGATATAGGTATCTGGTGGAGGGACCTCTGAGTGGGCCAAGCTGAGTTTGTTCTTCATCCTGTATTCTGGTAGGGTATTCTGGAACAGGTGGAGGCCTACCAGGCTGAGACTCGTGAGGCCTTGGCCTCACTGCCCTCCAGTCCAGGGCTTCTGCATTCCCTGTTGGAGAGGGGGCAGCAGCTGGGGGTGGAGGTGCCTGAGGCCCAGCAGCTCCAGCGGCAGGTGGAACAGGCGCGATGGCTGGATGAGGTGAAACGCACGCTGGCTCCCGCAGCCCGAAGGGGCACCCTGGCTGTCATGAGGGGACTGTTGGTCGCTGGTGCCAGTGTGGCCCCTAGCCCTGCTGTGGATAAAGCCCGGGCTGAGCTGCAGGAACTGCTGACTATTGCTGAACGCTGGGAGGAGAAGGCCCACCTCTGCCTCGAGGCCAGGTAGGCCCAGCCTCCTCCCTTTCCTGCTCTGCCCCATCCTTTCAAAGTTTAGTTGAGAAATACCCACAGATGACCACTGGCATAGACTCTCGTGTTAGTATGTTGCCCTGTCCTTCCCCTTCCCATCTTTTTTTTTTTCCCCCTTCTTAATACCATATACACCTAGAGGCAGAGATAGGTTGATGGGGAAGTAGAGGCAGATTCAGAGACAATACTAGCTCCTCGGGCTGATATGCACGTGACACAGGGCATTGACAAACTCTAGTACCAGATTAGTAATACTATGAGTAGAGTACGTAAGCACTGCCAGCAGGCTGACAGACTGGTAGACAGTCAAAGGCCCAGGAGTTCTCTTAGAAGTTAGGTGCATACAGCCTGGAACAAGCAGGGACAGGGAACTGTCATGGGCAGAATGCAAGCACGTAGGCCCAAGGGGTAGACCCAGGGCCTCTGATGGATTTGCTGGTCAGGCAGGCCACCAGACTGAGCCCTCTTTCTTCCCACCTTTAGGCAGAAGCATCCACCAGCCACGCTTGAGGCCATAATCCATGAGGCAGAAAACATCCCTGTTCACCTGCCCAACATCCAGGCTCTCAAGGAGGCTCTTGCTAAGGCCCGAGCCTGGATTGCTGATGTGGATGAGATCCAAGTGAGGACCCTGTCACTCCTCACCATCCAGCCCCGAACTTCACTTCATCGCAGGGAGATGGCACATACATTGTGCTGTGCTGGGTTGGCTAGAGAGCGGAAGGGGGCATGGCACATGGTGAGGAGGCAACATGTGTCTGGTGAACAGCGTGAGGAGCAGCTTCGATGCTGGCCTGAGGGAAGAGAGGATGCTGGGCAGGGAGGTAGTGGTGGTGGGCAGGGAGGATACAAGAGAAACCACAACACAGTAACTCGTCTGGCGGCTCACTATCTGCGGGCTGAGTGGATATATGTAGGAATTGTGGGAGATAGCCAGGTGAGTGATTTCCTTAGGGTCATCTGTGATTTTTTGCTGCCTCAAGATTATGGGTCCAGTCCATGTCTCCAGCTCAGGGCCAGGCATCAAAATGGCAGGTTAAATTGAACTTTCTCTTGCCCTGTCCCAGAATGGAGACCACTATCCCTGCTTGGATGACTTGGAGGGCCTAGTGGCTGTGGGTCGGGACCTGCCTGTGGGTTTGGAGGAGCTGAGACAGCTAGAGCTGCAGGTGTTAACAGCACACTCCTGGAGGGAAAAGGCCTCCAAGACGTTCCTTAAGAAGAATTCTTGCTACACGCTGCTGGAGGTGAGGCCTGGCCCCCTAATCAGTAGCTTTCTCACACTTGGCCTAACTTGTAAGACCTCTCATATAGGGGGTTGGGGGCACCAGGGGAGGGAAGAGAGGGTCTGTGAGATAGGGAATGCTGGTCATTCCCCTTCTGTCTGCCTGCCTCAGGTGCTCTGCCCGTGTGCAGACGCTGGCTCAGATAGCACCAAGCGCAGCCGGTGGATGGAGAAGGAGCTGGGATTATACAAATCTGACACAGAGCTGCTGGGGCTGTCTGCGCAGGACCTCAGGGACCCAGGCTCTGTGGTAAGGAGCTTAGGCCCAGAGGGGGAGAAGAGCCTGGCATTGACAGTGTTTGAGCGGGGTGACCACGGACAGACTGCTTGCTCCCTGAGCCGCGGTTTTCCTGGTTTGGGAGTGGGGTCTTAAGCGCCGGACAAGGGAAGGGCTGGGCTGCTGACCACCTCTTCCCCTGTCCCGGGCATGGCAGATCGTGGCCTTCAAGGAGGGGGAACAGAAGGAGAAGGAGGGTATCCTGCAGCTGCGCCGCACCAACTCTGCCAAGCCCAGTCCCCTGGCATCATTGACCACTGCCTCCCCTGCAGCCTCCATCTGTGTGTGTGGTCAGGTGCCAGCTGGGGTGGGAGCTCTGCAGTGTGACCTGTGTCAGGACTGGTTCCATGGGCGATGTGTGTCAGCCCCCCGCCTCCTCAGCTCCCCAAGGTCCAGTCCCACCACATCCCCACTGCTGGCCTGGTGGGAGTGGGACACCAAATTCTTGTGTCCACTGTGCATGCGCTCACGGCGTCCGCGCCTGGAGACCATCCTGGCACTGCTGGTAGCCCTACAGAGACTGCCTGTGCGACTGCCTGAGGGCGAGGCCCTACAGTGCCTCACAGAGAGGGCCATCAACTGGCAAGGCCGTGCCAGGCAGGCTCTGGCCTCTGAGGATGTGACTGCTCTGTTGGGACGGCTGGCTGAACTTCGCCAGCGGCTGCAGGCTGAACCCAAGCCCGAGGAGCCCCCTATCTACCCTGCAGCCCCTGCCTCTGACCCTCTCAGAGAAGGCAGTGGCCAGGAGATACCTAAGGTGAGCTGCCCAGCCCAGCTCTTGATCTCAAACTCTTGTCTCCTACTCCTTACCCTTGTGTAGGCTCCAGCCCTGTCCCTGCTCTGATTTTCTTACTCCTTTGGCCCAGCTTCCCTGCCATTCTCCATCCTGTTCAGATCCCTAGACTAGTCCCTGCAGCAACCTGTTTCTGTCCAAGAGATAGAAGATTCCAAGTTTGGGGTTGGGGGGAGAAGACTAGGGCCTGGATCTTCAGTTACCACTAACCATTCTTGCCCTCCTTGGCAGGTCCAGGGGTTGTTGGAGAATGGAGACAGTGTCACTAGTCCTGAGAAGTTAGCCCCAGGGGAGGGCTCAGGTAAGAGAGGTAGGTCTGGGTGTGAGTAAGCTGTTGACTACGCAGCACCAGAGTGACCACGTAGTCCTTCACTTGGTTGTGGTGATGGGCACATGCTGGGGGTTGCCTCTGACCACACTGTCTCTGCAACCCCCCAGACCTGGAGCTGCTGTCCTCACTGTTGCCACAGTTGACTGGCCCCATGTTGGAGCTGCCTGAGGCAACTCGGGCCCCGCTGGAGGAGCTCATGTTGGAGGGGGATCTGCTTGAGGTGACCCTGGATGAGAACCACAGCATCTGGCAGCTGCTGCAGGCTGGGAAGCCTCCAGACCTGGAAAGGATCCGCATACTTCTGGAGGTGAGGAGAGGGGTCCTGGGCAGGGGCCAGGCGGTCAGGCTAAGCAAGCAGGGAACCCCGGCCTGACCCCTGGCCCACATCTCTCTCTGCCTGTCTGTGATCGCAGCTGGAGAAGGCAGAACGCCATGGGAGCCGGGCACGGGGCCGGGCCCTGGAGAGGCGGCGGCGGCGGAAGGTGGATCGGGGTGGGGAGGGCGATGACCCAGCCCGAGAGGAGCTAGAGCCAAAGAGGGTACGGAGCTCAGGGCCAGAGACCGAGGAGGCCCAGGAGGAGGAGGAGCTGGAGGAGGAGACTGGGGGTGAGGGCCCCCCGCTCCCCCTCTCCACTGGCAGCCCCAGCACCCAGAAGAACCAGAACGGCTTGGAGCCAGCACTAGGGGCCAGTTCAGGCCCCTCGGCTCCCTTCTCTACTCTGACACCCCGGCTGCATGTGTCCTCCCCACAGCAGCCACCTCAGCAACAGTTGTGACAGTGGCTGAACCTAGCACAGACCCCAACAGAGACCCCCCCTTGGCCTCAAGGATCCTTTTTCTGACCATCAAGCCTGCTTCTTGGGAGGTGGGCAAGTAGGGGGGGATGGCCACAACCACCCCCACCCCCCACCAGCCCACCCCTGAGTCCCTTGACTTTTATATTCTGACTCCAAGGTATTGTTCAGACCTCAGCTCCTGGGGGCCGGCCCCTGGAGTTCCCCTCCCTGGTAGCCTCTAACCAGCATTCCCAGACACCTGAGGCAGATGGATGGGCAGGTGGGTAGGGGGGTAGCTGGGGCTAGGCCAGCACCATTCCAGAGACAAGGCCAGTGCATACGCAAACTGGGGGAATCTCCTCTCCTTTCTCCCCAGTTTTGACCCTGGCCAGGCCATGCTACACTAACCTCACTTCCCCCTCTCACTCTTTCTCAGCCCTCCCCTTTCCCTTCCTCCCTTCCCACTTTTGCCTCCTTGTTCTCCCTCCCTGACCCAGTCCACCCAGGAGGAGGAAACTTCACATAGCTGTGCTCACAGTTTTTTATTTTAAACAAATTTGGTTGGGGAGCCGAACAGGGCTCTCTCTGTGATCTGAAGAAAGCTATTGGTGCTTGTCCTCACAGCCACCTCACCCTTCCCCTCTCGTCCTGCCCTGTCTCCTTTCCTCCTCCTGGGTTCATGTTGTAATAAAAGATTGTTGGTGTGTAATTAATTTGTTCAAAAAAAAAAAAAAAAGCAAAACAAGAAACTTGGTTCCAACTGAAGCCTATTTTAATTTTATTTTATTATTTTCCTCTTGTTAGAAATAAAACCCTTAGCAACATTTTTTGGAAACCTGTTTCTGAAGTGCATTTCTCTTCGAAGGGGGAGAACAGTGCTTCCCATCACCTGTGAGTGGAGGAGCTGCAGTGCTGGCGGGAGCACTAGGGCTGAAGCCGGGGAGCTCTGGGTTCGGAAACAGTTCCACCTCTCCTTAACCTCGGGTACAACGCCCCTAATCTGCCCCCACCTGATCCCTAATCTCCCTACAGATAAGCCATGGTACCCCTCACCTGACCTGTGACAGCTGCCTCCAACTTGATGCCCTCCAGTCTCAAGTTCCCCACAGATGTTTGAAGGGTTTTAGGGGGGTTATTGAGGTACATTTATACACCATATAGTTTCACCTTTTTAAATGTACAGTTCAGTGGTTCAAAGGGATGATTCTGAATTGCAGATCTGACCTTGTCATTCTGCAGCTTCCACTAGTCCGTGATGCTTCATTGCCCTAAAGATCAAGATTATCTATCTAATCTTACTCTTTCTGGAATGCTACCCTGTCCTACCTAGATGCCACATTCAGGGGCCCTTCTGTGAATTTTCTCCACACTAAAGGGTTCTGCCCCTGTGAATGGAAATTAAAGCTCAGATGTGTTTATTGGCAACTTGTGAGTTCACTTTTTAAAAACCGCTTTATTGCAATATGATTTATATACCTTACAGTTCGCCCACTTGAAGGGTAAAAGTATATATCTAAGTGGCTTTTAGTGTATTCTAGTTCTACGACCATCACTGCAAAAGATTTAAAAATATTTTCATCATTCCAAAAAGATTACTACTTTTAGGGGGCATCACCTCCTCCCCAAGCCCCTTAACCCTAGGCCACTATTAATCTATGTGGATTTACCTATTTTGGACATTTTATATAAATGAAATCATACATGATCCTTTGTGACTGTTCTTTAATTTGCCATAACAGTTTCAACTTGAGTTTATTTTTAAATGTAGATGCTAATGGTTCTATAATACTGGGCAGAATTTTTTCCCCTCCTGGGCCCCAAAGCCTTTATAATGAGGGTGTTGGACTAAATATTTGAAGATGAGCATGAGAGCTGGGGCTGGGACAGACAGGAAAGGCTTCAGCCTCAGCACTTCGTTACCATTCTCCATCCCGCGAGGCAGTCAGACTCCAGAAGTGACCAGACAGGAGTGGACGAGGGAGTGCCTATGACCTGCGGCTGCTCACAGGCTAGAGAGCTGCTAGGCCCAGACTGGGGCCCTCCAAAATACGGGCCCAGCTCTAATTCCGGACATCGTGTTCATCTTGGCACCACCCTGCCCCATTCACCCCTCACTGCGGATGTACGTGCCATGATCTCTGCAGCAGAAGCCCTAGCTCAAATGTGACCTCTTCCAGAGAGCTTGCTTGCCTTTCCCAGGAGACAGCTATCCCAGACACTCCCAAGAAAGAGAGAACAGCTTGTGTGTGTCTTCTAAGACCTGCCTGTATAGACCTGTTTGTTGGTGGAGTGCTGCTGCACATCGACAACCTCGTGGCTTGACTGGACCATTAACAACTCACCGTGGGCAGCTCGGCTCGCACAGGTCACATGGTCTCTTAGGTTCATTCACAAAACATACCTGCCTTTATATTCTATTGCTGGGACTCCGATACTACAATGTGGGCATCTTCCAAAAGTGGTTTCCGTGACACTGTCTCCTCCATCCTAGCCAGCCAGAAGAGGGAAAGATCAGATGGGTGGCTCTTACTAGCTAAGCCTGAATGTTGTGTGCCTCATTTCTGCTCACATTCCACTAGGTGCAACGCAGCCAGAACCATACTCAGCTGCGGGGGATGTTGGAAAATGCAGTGTGAATTTGTCCTAAGGAGGGGGAAAAAAGTGGGCTTAGTAATCAAATCTACCTAGTCTTTGCCACACTTCATAATTTCTCAAAGCCCTGTGAGAGCTCAACAGAGTGGTTGACACGATTAATCCATTCCAACATTCTTTACTTCCCTAAACATTGGGAAGGCTTGCTCCTATGTCTCTGGTGCCACTAGCATTTGTATTCCTCCTGCTGCACAGTACTGCTGACATAGTATTCAGTTCTGATAAGTGTACTCTTTAATAAAAGGTTTGGCCCTATCAAAATCAGAAAGACAAAACTGCAGACCAATATCTCTTAGGAATAGATTCAAAAGTTTTTAACCAAATACTGAATCCCTTAGCTTTAAAAACTATGATCGAATTGGACAACCTGATTCAAATGGACTTATCCTAGGAATATGTGAGTAGGGAAACAGACTATAGTTAAAGGTTATACATTATATTACTAGATGCAAATCTACATAGTGACCTTGATGCAGAAAAACATTTCAAATACAAAAAAAGGCATGCAGCAGGTAAGTTAAAAAATTGAACAACGAAAATCAGTTATGTTTTCAAGAACAATCCAGAAATTAAGACAATAATTCCATATACAATAGCATCTAAAAATATACCTAGGAATGAACTTAACCAACAAGACAAAAGATTTTGTCTGCTGAAAACTAGAGAACATTGCTGAAATAAAGGAGACTGGAATAAAAGGAAAGACATCCTGTGTCATATATTAGAAAACTTCATGTTGTTAAGATGTCGGTAATACCAAAAATATCCAGATTCAACACACTCATCAAAACTCCAACACAGCCTTTTTACAAAACTAGAAATGCCAATCCTCAAAATGTATATGGACTTGCAAAGGACCCTGAATAACAATCTCAAAAAAGAAGAATAAGGTGAGATGGTCAGGCGGCTTTTAACAAGGATGCTAGGTCCATTCAGTGGAGAAAGTAGTCTTCTCAAAAGATGGTTCTGGGACAGTCACGTTTCCATGTGCAAAAGAATGAAGTTGGGCCCCTAACAGCATATATTACTAACTGAAAATGGAGCAATGACCTATGTTTTCTTAGAAGAAAACGGCAGTAATTTCTATGACCTTGGATTTGGCACCAGATTCTTAAATATGTTGGCCAAAGGCATAAGTAACAAAAGAAAATATAGATAAATTGGACTGCATTAAAATAAAACTTGTGCATCATGGGGTATTTTAAAAAGGGAAAAGAAAAAATGAAAAAACTTGTATATCATCTGATGAGAACATAGAACAACAAAACAGTTAAAAATACAGGCAAAGGACTTGAATTGACATTTATCCAAAGAAGATATTCAAATGACCAAAAAGCATATGAAAGTTGCTCAACATTATTAGTTACTAGGGATAAGCAAATCAAAACCACGATGAGACACTACTTCATGCCCACTAGGATGGCAATAATATAATAATGAGAAAACGAGCATTGGAGAGGATGCGCAAAGATAAGAACCTTTGCACATTGCTGGTGGGAATATGAAGTGGGGCAGCCACTGTGGAAAACAGTTCAGCAGTTTCTCAAGGAACTGTACACCCAAAAGAATTGAAAGCAAAGACTCAAAACATACTTGCACACCAATGTTCATTGCAGCATTGTTCATGATAACCAAAAGGTGGGAACAATTCAAATGTGCCTCAAGAGGCTAAACAAAATGTGTTTTCATATGTATATTGGAATGGTAATCAACCATAGTAAGAAGTGAAGTTTGAACACCTGCTACGATATGGACGGACATTGGAAACATTCTAGGTGACAATCCAAGGACAGGTAATCTATGATTCCACTTATATAGAATATCTAAAACAAAGTCACAGAGACAGTTGTTGGGAGGTTCCCAGGGAAGTGGGTAGTTAACTTGTAATAGCACAGAGCTTTTGTTTGGGATCATAGAAAGGTTTTAGAGCTAGGTAATGGTGATGGTTGCACATTATGAATGTAATTAATGGTACCTACTCATGCAATCAAAAATGGTTTAAATGGCACATTTTGTTATATATATTTTACCACAATAAAAGGAAAGTTTGACCCAACCTAAAGTTACCTTTCCTTCTGATTTGTCATCCATAGAATCAGCTCCCACACATATTACTGAGGCATCTGCCCAGATAAATGATCTTTTTTTGTTGTATGTAGGCTCTCTCCTCATAGGTGCAACTCACTTCCCATGGGGCATGCAGGAATCTGAATCCAGGAACAAATATCAAGGCACCAAGGGATGGTAAGGGCGGGTACTGAGAAAGGCTAGCTAAGTATCAGTAATTAGAGGGTTCCCTACTCATGCTTATCCAGTTCCATTACACTAGGGAAAGGGGGCTTCCTCTTTGACCTAGGGGAGCTGAAGGGTGACTGGGCTTTAATTTATCATTCCTACTCCAGTTTTCAAGGTCCCATTCGTCCACCAATCACTGGTCTTTTGGTTTCACTTCAGGTATCTGAAGATCTTGTGAATTCAACCTGCGTTGTAATTCAACAATCTGCAGGATTAGCTAGCTCTATGTCTGATTTCAGGCTACATCAGATTTTTGAGTAGAAGAGACAAAGATTTCTTCAAGTAATTTTTTAGAATAATTTTAGGTTCAGCAGAGTAGATGGGTACTGTTGTTCCACATCCTAACCAGTCCCTGGTACTGTCGATTTTTAAGTTTTGCCAGTCCGAGGAGCGTGAAATCATATTGCATGTGCTTTAAGCGGGCATTTCCCTGATAACTAATGAAGTTGAGTACATCCCCATTTGGGGATTCTCTTTTGAAATGCTCATCCAACACTTTCATCTATTCTGCTGATTAGCTTTTTCTCATGTTGAACTGTAGGACTTCGTTTTATACTATGGATATTAAATCTTTGATAATTTTTAGTGATATAAATACCTTTTCACATGTAGTATTACTTTGCACTGTTTGTGACATTTCTGGGTGAAAGTAATTTTTTTTTAACACTTAGACTCTGAAAAGTATGCTAGTTACCAGAGGGGAAGGAAGTGGGGGGAGATGGGGGTAACATGATAGGGTAGTGGCACTGCAGCTATGGTTTAATGTTAACGAAGGATTTGTGCATCTTGAGGTGTTAAACTATACTCCCCAAGTTAGATAGCTTTATAAACAAATGGCAAATCAGGGCTCTCTCTGGTGGTGCAAGGGGGCAGCATTATGAAGCTGTCCACAGCCACAGCAGCATGAGTTTGATCCCCAGCCAAGGAGGTGATCCACAGACCTGTCTCCCGGCTGTTCCCCTCAGCAGTGTGTTTCAGTAGATCCACCTGTTCTGCTCCCCACTCTGTTTCTGGTGAATCCTCTCATCCACCACGCCTCTGGCCTGTATTTCAGTTCTTGTACAGTGTCTGGTGATAGCTTCATTGTGCTGCACTTTAACCCCTGTACCACCAGGGAGGCCCCCTATGTTATCTTCTTTGCTTTCAAATTTAGTTTTATAATCTATCTGCAATTCCTTAAACGTACACCATGAAGTAAACATTCACTTTAAAATTATTTTTCTTTTGGGATAGCCAGTTGTTTCAACACCATTTTGAAAAGACTGACCTGCTAATGGTGCCCTACAGAGCCACATCTTTGGTAAATCAAGTATGCAAATATGAGACTTCCCTGGTGGCCTAGGGGTTAAGTCTCAGTGCTATTCACTACTATGGTTGCCTCACTGGCTGCTCCCCTTAGCAGTGTACTTTGTCGATCTGCCTGTTCTGCGCCCCACTCTGTCTCTGGTGAATCCTTTCCTCACCAACTCCCACCTCCACACTTCTGGTCTGCACCCCAGTTCTATGCAAAAAAAAAAAAAAGTATGCATGGGTCTTCTGAGCTGTTGGTTCCACTAGACCTTATTTAATTTCTAATTGTATTTTTTATTTTAAAATTTATTTTTATGGCCAACAGGCATATGAAAAAATGTTCCACATCACATTATCAAGGAAAAGCAAATCAAAATCACTAAGATGCCACTCGCACCTGTCAGAATGGCCCTTATTTAAAAAGCTAGAAACAAATGCTGACAAGGATGTGGTGAAAATGGAACCCTCTTTCACTGCTGTTGGGAATGCAAACCCCTGTGGAAAAGAGCTAGTTGGAATCAGAAGGTCCAGTGAGAACTTTTGATGTTCTCCAAAGTCAGGCAGGAAAACATCTGTTTTGGGAAGAGACAGGTCTACCTTCAGCGGACCCAGTTATAGAGAATATGGGGGCTTTGTCACCACCTTACTGATTTTGCTTCTCAAAAGAGCCCATAAGTTAGCCTCACTGCTTCTTACAACCCCCACCCTTCTGAACAATAACAACTTCTTTTGTATGACAGGACAGATCATCGCAACTAGATGTTCTCCATGCATTTCTCGATCCTCCACATTAATTAATTCACTCATTCTGTTTATTCCACAAATATTTATTGAATGTTTACTAAATATTACTATGTACTGTTCTTCTTGGCACTGGGGATACAGCAGTATACAAAACAAAATTCCCTGCTTTGTGGAGCTTACAGTCTATTGGGGGAGAGACAAATACAAATCACAATAAATAAATATGTGAATAAATAAATTCAGTGGTGATCAGTGCTTTACAAAAAAATAAGACATAAAATGTTCCTCGAGGGAGATGACATTTGAGCATACTGCAAGTGGGTGGAAATTCATCAGATTATCTGGGAATAAGAGTGTTTCAGGCAGTGTCGATAGCAAATACAAAGGCTCTGACATGTTTCAGGAATAGCAAGGAAGCCAGTCTCACTAGAGAAGAGTGAATGATAAGAGTGATAACAAATGAGATCAGATAGGTGATGGAAAATAGATTGTGTAAAGACTTTTGGGCCATGGACTGGGCTTTGGTGTTTATTCTGAGGGAGCTGGGGGCCATGGGAGAATTTTAAACAAGAGGTATATGACATGATTTGGTTTTTAAAAATTATTCAAAGGAGAATTAATAACAGACATTAGAATACTAGCCCAAAGAAAAATTAGTCAGAAAACAAAAATGTCTACAACAAAGGATATATATAGTCAGAGAATATTGTGTGGTTTAGAGGTGAGCAATGTTTACAGTGTCATATTTATGCAAACAGTGAATACAAAATGCGTAAAATGATTAAAGAAATCATAGCTACAACCACAAAGATGAGCAAGCTACAAGAAACTTAGGGATAACGAGGCACATTAGAAAGTGAAATATATGGAGCTCATACAAACAAAAAATATAATTATCAAAATAAAAATTTCCATGGATATATTAAATAACAGATAAGATATAATTGAATAGAGAATTGGTAAGATGAAAGACATAACTAAAGAAATTGCTCAGAATGACATATAGAAAGTCAAGGATATAGAAAATACCAATGGGATGTTACAAGCTACAGAAGATAGAATGAAGAGGTCTGAAATATGTCTAGCTGGATTCTGATAAAGAAAAAAGTAGAAAGAATGAAAGAAAGGCAACATTAGAAGAGATAATAATAGAAATTTTTCCAGAAATTATGAAAAACATAAATCTAGGGGCAGGAAACACATTTCCAAAGTAGACTAAAAAAAGAAATACATGCCTAAACAAGTTAGAATGAAACTACAGAATCCCTTGCACATCCTCCTTCAAAAAAAGAAAAAAGGACAGAAAAGAGATCTCAAGAACAGCAAGAGTACAAAAACCAAATATATTTATATAAAATAGCAATTAGACTGATAGCAAACTAGAACACAATATTTTAAGAATGAGGATAAAATAAAGACTATTACATTTAACACCAAAGACCTGTACTAAAACAGTATCTAAACATTGTGCTCACAATGAAGGAAAGTGATCCCAGTCAGTATGCCTGTAAATCCAAGCCAGTACAATCCATAAAAAATAAACCTGGCCCTCCCTGGTGGCGCAGCGGGTTAAAGCACAGCACTGAGAATCTAAAGCCACTTCCGCATGAGTTCTATTCCCGCCTGCCCTGGAGGTGACCACATGGCGTGGCAGACCTCTCCTGACCCGCCCACTGCTCCCCTCAGCAGTGTACTTCGTCTATCTGCCTGTTCTGCTCCTCACTCTGTCTCTGGTGAAGCCTCTCACCGCCCCTGAGCCTCTGGCCTGTACCCCAGTTCTGTATGCACAAATAAATCTTTAAAAAATAAATAAATAAATAAACCAATGATGATATATAATTTGTAAGGTCAGAAAATAAGGAATAAACATACTTAAAACAATAGCATATGATCATGAAACTAATTACTAGAGTTAAGGAATTCTAGGGTCCCCACAGCCTTTAAGAGGGAGCTTGAAATACTGTTTAGGTCTTATAAGTTAAATATATGCATGGTAAAACTTCAAGCATAACCACAGAAAAAATAAGTAAATTCTAAACAGTAAGGAGGAAAATAATTGAGTAACATAGAAAACAAATCTGAAAACTATAAAAGTGGCATGAGAAGAGGAAAATGCAGCAAGGAAAAGGCAGTGGTAAAAAATACAAATAAAAAAAGCATCATGGTGGAAATCAATCCAAGGACACCAATAAATGTAAACAGGCTAAACTTGAGCATTAAAAGAGTATAACAGATTATATTTTTTAAAAAGTTGCAGCTATATGCCATTCCCAAGAGGTATAATTAAAGCATAAGAATATGAAATATCAAAAAGTAAAAGGATGGAAAATTATTTACCACACAAATCCTAACAGGAAGAAAAGCTTCTGTTGCTATATTAATATAAGATAAAATAATAAAATAGACCTCAAGGAAAAATACATTATTAAGAACAGTGTCATTACATATTTACTGGAGATATATGTAACAATATTTAATTCAAATATTTTTAATAAAATACCCTCAAAATATATAAAGTAAAAAAAAAATAAAGAACCACAAGGAAAAATACACGACTCCACCATCATAGTTGAACATTAATACACTTCATAATTATTGGTATATCATGATCAAAACAATTAGTATAGATATAGAAAATTTGAACTTGATAATAGACATATGTAGAACTCTGAATTGAACAATTAGAGAACATACATTCTTATAAAGTACATAGGAAACATTCAAAAATATAGATCATGTACTAAGACATAAAACAAGTCTCAATAAATTTCAGTTATCACACAGATCACATCCTCTGATCACAATGCAGTTAAGGTAAATTTCAATAACAATAAGATTAATCTCAAATCCCCAAACACTAAGAAATTTAAAAACACCTTCTATGTAATGCACAGGTCAAAGAAGTAACCACGATGGAAATGCTGAAGTACTTGGAACCGTACAATAATGAAATATGACATCTCTCAACTTACAGAAAAGCAGTATCTGGAGGGAAATTTGATATATCTTTAAATGAGAAAACAAGACTAAAAATTAACGTCCTCACTAAGTTAAGACATTAGAAAAAGAACAACAGAATAAATCCAAAAAATGTGGAAGGAAGGAGATCAAAAAAGATAAGAGCAGAAATTAAAGAAATAGAAAACAAAGACACAATTGAGAGAAGCAACAAAGCCAAAAGTTGGTTCTTTGAAAAAACTAATAAAATAGACAAACCTCTGGTGAGATTGATCAAGAAAAAAAGTGAGAAGGCACAGATAACCAATATAAGTAATGAAAAAGGAGACATAACTACAAATTATATACAGCAGAGAATAAAAAAAAAGCCAAGGGAACTTTGTGCCAATAAATTGAGACAACAGACAAAATGAACCAGTGCTTATCAAACAATAACTTGCCAAAACTGGCTCAAGAAGAAAAAGAAATCGTGAACAGTCCTTTAACTACTAAAGGAATTGAAATAGTTAAAACTCTTCCTACCCCCCAAAAAAAAGAAAGAAAAGAAAAAAAATCACAGGAACAAAAGAGAGCAGAAGGCAGAATTTCCCTTTTGCTGTGTGGAGCACAGGCAGGTGAAGAAATACTATTCCACTCAGCTGTGAAGATGTCCACGTAGGACCTAAGGCAGTAGAGACCCTGGGCTGACCACCTGTCTCTGGTGAAGCCTCCTGTGGAGATCTTTAGAGGGTGGCTCTTACTGAAGCTGGGTCTGACAGCGCCCTCTGCAGTCCATGCAGGTGGGAAGCATGAATGAATAACATCCAGCACTCAGTTACTCTCTTTCTTCTAGAGGAGCTCTAGCACGTGGACAACCTCTTCAGTAGCCAGTTTCTGTAGTTTCCTGCCCACTGTGGAGCTTCTGAAGGAATCTGTGTTCCGAGTTTTCAAGAAACGCCACACACAGCCCTCGTTGTGACCGGTAGGATGGGGTTGGGTGCTTGGAACAGGGGCTTCTAGAGGATGTAGCTCCAGGTAGAAGTCCTGGATCTCTGTCTTCACTAATATCAGATTCTTCTATCCATTTGCAGCTGATGGGCCTTTTTATTCCAGCCAGCTGCAGAGTGATAGTTCTAAGAATGATGCATGTTCTGCAAATAAGAATTTAATCATTATTGTGAAATTGTTACTATGAACAAGTTCAATTGGATCTGAAATCACATCATCACGGGAAATTTTAACAACATATCTGTCCGTGACACACACAAAAAGCTATTAGATATAATTTCAGTTGTTAAACATTTTTGAAGAATTTTAAATAATGGCTTTAAACACTTTACTACCTAATTGCACAAAGAAAGACTGTTAAGAATTTAGAGAACACAGCATTAAAAAGTCTCGATCAGGGCCCTCCCCGGTGGTGCAACGGGTTAAAGCACAATACCTGGAAGCTAGCTGCAGCCAGCTGCCTAAGCACAAGTTCAATCCCTGGCCAGGGAGGTGACCACATGGCGCGGCAGACCTCTCCTGGCCCGCCCGCTGCTCCCCTCAGCAGTGTGCTTCGTCGATCTGCCTGTTCTGCTCCCCACTCTGTCTCTGGTGAATCCTCTCACAGCCCCTGCACCTCTATCCTGTACCCCAGTTCTTGTATGCAAAAATAAATAAGTCTTTAAAAAATGTCTCGATCAGCATGTGTGTGCAGCCATAACATGTTATTGAAGTAGATTTCAAGTTTGTCATTTAAAACTTTGAAAATATTTTATTTAGCTTATTATTAGTAATAATATTTTTAAAAATGGGAAACACCAGATCAAGGTGGTTTTACAGGAGAATTCTACCAAAGAGATTATTTCAAAGTCATAAAACATCTTTCAGAATATTGCAGAAGAAGGGACACTGACTTCCTTTATGATACCAGCAGAACTTGATCAAAAAGCAACAAGAATGGGAAACGAAAGGCAATTTTACTCATGGACACAGATACAAAAAGCCTACACAAAATATTAACAAACTGAATCTAGTACTAAGGAAAAGATCATGACAAAGTTGTATTTACACAGAAATGCAAAGGTGGCCTAACATGAGAAGTATTTATAGATGTCACTTATCACACTACCAGATTATTGGAGAAAAAAAGTCACCCTAAGAAATAGATAAAATATTTGATAAAATATTCAAAACCTTTTTATGATTTAAAAGCAATAATAAAAACTTCTTAGCATGGAGGGCAGGATGAAACTTGTTTAATCTGATAAAACCTGTAGACCTCCATAGTAAATATTTTCAATAAGGAAAAGTTAGTGTTGTTCCCTTTAAAATACCTAACAGGCCCTCCCTGGTGGCGCAGCAGGTTAAAGCACAGCACTGAGAATCTGAAGCCACTTCCGCATGAGTTCGATTCCTGTCTGCCGCCTGCCCCGGAGGAGACCACATGGCGAGCCAGACCTCTCCTGACCCGCCCGCTGCTTCCCTCAGCAGTGTACTTCGTCGATCTGCCTGTTCTGCTCCCCACTCTGTCTCTGGTGAAGCCTCTCACCGCCCCTGAGCCTCTGGCCTGTACCCCAGTTCTGTATGCACAAATAAATAAATAAATAAATCTTTAAAATACCTAACAAAACATGTATTCCTACAACCATGTTTTCTATTCAACACCGTACTGAAGGTTCCTGGTCATCTTAGTAATTTAAGAAAAATAAAGGCATAAAGATTGGCTAGTAAAAAAATTACTGCCATTATTTGTAGTTGATATTTATAGTTTTATGTGTCAGCATAGAAAAAGACAAAAAAGTATACAGAGGGCTCTCCCTGGTGGCACAACAGGTTAAAGCACTGCATTATGAAGCTCTCTGAAGCCACTGCAGTACCAGTTCAATCCCTGGCCAGGGAACTGACGCACATGGCGCAGCAGACCTCTTCTGACCAGCCCGCTGCTCCCCTCAGCAGTGTATTATGTCATTCTTCTTGTTCTGCTCCCCGCTCTGTCTCTGGTGAATCCTCTCGTTGCCCCTGTGCCTCTGGCCTAAACCCCAGTTCTGTGTGCACAAATAAATAAACCTTAAAAAAAAAATTATACAGAAAACTTAAAAGGAACCAGGGCCCCTAGAGAAATGGTTGATTTCAGGGTTGAGGCAGGACAATACAAGATGAATAGGTAGCATCTTGTGGTTCCAGTTATGAAATAATGTGCATATGATATAACACAGATATAAATATATGATTAAATAAAAATAAATAAATGCGAAGAAACAAGTGTTTTGCTTCTAACTGAAGAATTACAAATAATCTATGTAAATAAAACCATTCCTTTTCCTTGGGGTGGTCAACATTCTTCCAAAAAATAGAGATTGAAAAGGGAAAAATATAGCAAACTTAGTAAACCCCACTTTAACCAAGCAAACAACATTATCAGTGCTGTTATATCCTCTTGGCATGTTACGATAAGAAGAGGACTTCTACTCTGGCCTTGTTTGCCAAAACAAACCCAGGCTCAATGAGGAAAACTTCAAACAAATCCAAATTGAGAGACATTCTTCAGTACCCAAAACTGCTCATGCCATAAAAAATAAGGAAAGACTTGGAAATTGTCATAGACCAGAGGACACCAGAGACACATGAACAACTAAATGCCATGTGGTCTTCTGAATTGGATCTTAGAACAGAAAATAGGGAATTAGTAGGAAAACTGATAAATCCACTTAAGTCAGATGTAGAGTTACCAGTACTATACCAATGTAGCTTTTTTAGTTTTGACAGTTGTACCAGAGTGCAAAGTACAGGAGCTCTCAATGCTCTCTCTTTACTTTCCTGTACTGTGAAATTACACTCAAATTAAGAGTTTGCTTAAAAATAAAAGCTTAGCTAAAAAAAAAAAGCTTAGCTAAGTGAACAAATATATTATCAATGTAAAAAAATCACCTTTAGATCATGTTTAGTGAAATAAGCCAGAAAGAAAAGGAAAAATACTAGATCATTTTACAAATAGCAGGGGCATAAGGAATCAGGGGGAAAAAACTGTAATAAAGTAAAAATGAATATAAACAAACAACTATAAACCAGAGACATTCTACAAGGGTGAAAAGGGGAACAGGATCAACACTGGGGATGGAAGAGCACGCAGAACTATGGTGATGGCACATGGTGAGTTTGTGGTGGGAAGTCCACGACGATTACCACCCAGATGAAAAAAAAATGTACAAAATGAAGAGTGATGTAAAAAATTAATTAAAATTTTATTTTATTTATTTTTAAAGATTTATTTATTTATTTATTTATACAGAACTGGGGTATAGGCCAGAGATGCGGAGGGTGAGAGGATTCACCAGAGACAGAGTGGGGAGCAGAACAGGCAGATCGACGAAGTACACTGCTGAGGGGAGCAGCGGGCGGGTCAGGAGAGGTCTGCCACGCCATGTGGTCACCTCCGGGGCAGGCGGGAATCGAACTCATGTGGAAGTGGCTTTAGCTTCTTAGTGCTGCGCTTTAACCCGCTGCGCCACCAGGGAGGGCCTTAATTAAAATTTTAAAGAAAATTACACACAATATAAAAAAAGGCCTTATCTTACAGAAAATGACCAAGGTCTACCAAAGGACATTGAAGAATTTATTTATTTAAAATGAAAGTATACATCATGTTCACAACTAGCAAGACTCAACATCATAAATTTATCAATTCTCTTCAACTGATCTACATAGATTCATACAACTCCAGTATTTTTGTAGAATGTGACAAACTGATTCTGAAAAGTGTTTGAAATAACAAAGGGCCAAGAACATATGATAACCCCAAAAAGAATAAGATGGGAAGATTTTGTTCCATCAACTGTTAAGATGCTTTAGAAAGCTGAATCTTTCAACATAGTATAATACTGGCTCTGGGAGAAAAAAAAAATTTACCCACTGCAGAGATCCCGGAAACAGACCTAAACAGATATGGGTCTCTGATGCATGACCTAGGAGGCACTTTAGATTGCTAGGCCACTCATGGGGAAAACAATAACTGTGGAAGACAGTACATAAAAAGTGCTGAACACAGAGAAGAGATTGTTCTTACAAAGACACCACAAAGGAAAAAAGCCACAGACTGAGAAAATACACACAAAGCTGATGAGTGTAATTTTTTATTATCCCTCCCTTTTTTTATTCTGTAACACTTGTTTTATTGAAGTAACCTTGGATTACAAAGCTGCATATAAAAACCCAATTTTTTAAATGGACAAAAGATACTAATAGTCATTTTAGAGTGTCGCCAATAAGCATGAAAAGATGCTCTACCACAAAATTGCTAAGTTTACAATGAGATAACATTTTATACCCACTGTAATAAAAAAATTTAAAGTGAGACACTCATGTATTGATTAGGGTTTGTATCAATGAGATCTCTTATAAATCGCTGAGAGGTATGTAAAATGGTAGCATCAATTTAGAACACATTGTGACATGCTTCTGTCACACTGGGTGGTATACAAAAGCTCTGTTAACCAGCAATTCCATTCTTATGTACTCACCTTAGAAAAATGTGTGTGTGTGTGTGTGTGTGTACACCAGGAAGCATGTCCAAAATATTCATGGCAGTCATGTTCATAAATGCAAAAAGCTGGAAACAACTCAAATATCCATTTGAATATTTGGATTAATATCCAAATATTGCTCCACCCACTTATCAGCAGATAAATGGATGAATAATTGGTTTTATGGCGACTTAATGAAATATCATACAGCACTGAGAATGAACACATTATAGCTACAGGCAAAAACATAGCTGAATCTTGGGAACAAAATGAGTGAAAAAATAAGTTACAGGAGACCACATACAGCACAATACTATTTTTACGAAGCTTACAACTAAGATAAACAATTATGTTGGTTAAACATCTCTGCAAATAGGAAAAAATATATATATATATATATATATATCTCAAAAGTAGCAAGGGAATGTTAAATGCATACCTTAAGAAAATGGTAAGATCTGATGGGGAGGTGGGGGATGGAACAGGAAATGACATGAAAGACCCTATTATTGATGTTGTTCTTGGGTTTTTATTATATTATCATCTTTATAACTCATGTATACATAATGTATCTATTTATCTTTTTATTTTTTAAAAAGATTTATTTATTTATGCATACACAACTGGGGTATAGGCCAGAGGTG